CAATCGAGACAAACTAAGTTTCCCTAAGTTTAAATTCCAAAAGTAGTATTCCAAGAAAATATTTCTACTTTTACAAACATTGTGTGTGCATTCTTATTAATATTAAATCATATTTTTTTTTGTAAATAAATAATTTATCAATTTATATTTATTCATAGAATTAATTAATAGAATATTGTGTAAATAACAATTAATTTCTGGCAATTTTTAAAATAAAATATTATAAATTTACGAATTGTTTAAGTTTACTTACACATCAAAAGTGATACATAACTAAGTTGTGTTATTTAAAATATGTCAATTGAAATTATTAAAAATGTGAGTGATTTTGTTTCCATTATTTGTTCGAAATGAATATTCTGTGTTGAGCAGCATAGGCTAAATACCAAATATTTGTATTTATCTCTAATTTATCAAAAAGCAGAATCTTGTATCGATTTACAATTTAAAAACTTCTTCAAAAGATTTTCAGCAATTTTTGCAATAACAGGACACTATTTGCACAAATTCACAAAAGCAGGACCCTGGTTGAAAGGATGTGACTTAACGCTTATTTTATATTCACAAATTATGAATAGTTTTTTCTCAATTTTACAAAAACAGGACATTCAAATGGTAGATGTATACTTGTTGTGCTGAATGAAGCATATGTAACGGGATGGATAAAGCACAACAGCGTAGCTCAAAGTTGTCCGAAAATTCCTTTAAAAAAATGTCCTTAAACGTCCTTAATTATTAAACATTCCTCTAAATGTCCTGAAATTTTTGTAATTTTTTCCGAATTATTTTTGTTGAAGTTAACAGAAAGATGAAATATTATTTATCGAAAAAAGAATTGAAGAAATTTCACATTCAAAAATTATGTTATATGCCATGAAAAAAGTAAATAACCAAATGAACAACAAAGTTGTCAAGTACGGCATTAATCTACCTTCCAGTATTAGAGACCCTTAATTTTATGGCATAAAAGTGGGAGAAATATATAAAACTGCGCCCTTGTCATCACTATATCATATACTGTTTTTTTTACAAGAGAATCCTCATATTTTGCTACTACTTTATGATTTTCCTTATCTAGCCTATTTTCTCTCCATTTTTTGTATTTATAAAAGAAATTGTGTAACTTTTTTTAATAAAACTTTTTTTTATTTTAAAATTGTTTCTTTTTTCACTTAAGTGCAGTAACTGCTTAAGCTATTACCAATCGTACATCTGCGAATCCATGTTGGTATTACAAATTGTTTTCATTAAAGAATGAGTCTCCTTAAATTGTCCTTAATTTTATATTTTGGACTTCCAACCTTGATAACAATGGAAATTAAAATCAAATAATGATATAAAAATAAATGTACTCTAATTTCTGTTCTAAATTTCAGTTGATTTGTGTGACACTAAGCAACACAGCAATTTGTGTTTTGACACTGAGGAAGGTTCTTTTTTATTGAACAAATATTAGTGTATATCCATTCCATTTTTGTGTCATTATTTGTGCTTCATTCCTTTGTTTCACTTTAATTTTTTTTAAATTCTCTTTGAAAATATTTCAATGAAATTTTAATACATTTTTTAAATAAATTTTGATTTGTAGCTCAAAGGAAGATCTGACGCCTGTTCACATTGCATCCATGTGGAATAACTATACAGAACTTGAAAAGCTTCTGCAAAATAAAGGGAACCCTTGGCTTGTGGACAATGAGAACAAGAATGCATTTGATTTAGCAGCTGATCACCATTCTTATGAATCATATCAAATTCTAAATAGGTACCATTCTGAGAACAAACTAAATTTTAGATCTGTTGCAGACAAGACTCAAAACCAGTTGAATAACAGCACTGTTTTCCACACTGTTGATGAACATTTCTCTTTCCTGTTTTCCAACAGTAATGAGGATGAGGAAAGCCGTTCTTATCTTTTGAATGTAAGTAAAATTCTGAGAAAAAATAAGTTTCTAGAAAATAAAGTTGAAAGGAATGTTAATTCCTCCCAAAATGAAAATTGTAGATTATTGGACAAGGCTGTGCTTTTTTCAGAAAGTGGAGATTCTAGTACTACTAGTCATTCTGAAAAAAGTAATGTCACAGTTATTGAGACGGACAACTTAAGTGGCATTTCTTTAGTTGAAGAAGATTCTCTAGTACTGCCAGCTAACTTTGGAAATGATTCTTCGAATTTTGTAATTAATGATTGGAAATCTTGCAGCATCTCATCGTATCTCAGCAATTCAGAACTTAAATTAGATGACAGGATCACTAATGATCCAATATGTGGTTGGACTTCTTGTAAATCAGACTTCAGTTTTATACCTGATGATTCTGTTGTAATTTCAAACTCTTTTAAGGAACTTAGCAATCTGGAAATTTATCAGGAGCTTCTCAAATTGGGTGATATGCCAGGCCCCATAAGTGATCATACACGCGATCTGTATTTGAAACGCCTGTTCAAGATTAAAAGTGGTATCTATATTCTGCCTTTAAGTGAACCAAGTAAGTATAATAATAATTGTTAAAGAATTCTATTAAAATTAAGGCTTCATCATATAATCAGCTTTGATTCAACTAATTCAACTAAGTAGATAAATTCAGAACAGATATAATATTTCAATTTTATTATTTTTTTTAAAATAACGACCAGCACTGAACTTTCGGTTTTTGCCTTAGAAGATGCTGGAAGCGTTGCCCATTTATCATTACCCGATGGGCACCTGTGAACTGAAGTTACGGAGGCGAGCAACATTAATGACGCCACATATACCTGTTCCTGGGGTGGGCCATAAATATTCACACATCACACAACAGAGAACAACACACAGAGAAACACCCATGCCTTGAGCAGGATTCGAATTCACAGTCAAGCACGCTAACCTGTCCAGCATTTTCATTGTGTAAAACGTAACAAAATATAAAATCTTATATACAAGCTGATCTTTAATCATTCCTTGATTGTGTAATAAATATCGTGATTTTAAAGAGGGAAATTAGTTTTTTGATTTGTTTCAAATTTTTTTTAAGACTTAAAGTGGATTTTTTTTTACAGTTTCCGATCAAAGTTTTGATAAAATGCATTAAAGATGCTTAATTTTATTTAAGAACAATATAAATAAAATACCTAAATTTTCTAATTAAAATAATCAAAAATGGTTATTCAAAGCTAATTTCTGTCATCATTAGAGCCCAGATTTTGATGACCTAAAAAATCTCAACTAATGCCTCTAAAAAGTACAAAAAATGCCTTTAAAAAGTACAAAAAATGCCCTTCAAAAATGCGAAAATTGCGCTAAGAATGCCTTATGACATGACTTAAATAAAGTAAAAATATTGAACTAAAACAATGTTTTACTCTTTAAAATTATTATGAGTCATTTCAAAAAATATAAAGCAATGCAATGCTTGTTCTACGTTCAGTAAAGTTTGAAAAAATAAGTTTTATATCCTAAAATAACAACAACAAAAAGGAAAACGTATTGACTTCAAAACATTTTCATTTTGTATAGAAACTTTAATGAATATAACAACTTCCATCTCATAATATTACTAAATATCAGAATTACATTGGATTATTAAATGAGATTTAGGTTAAGATTTAGGTTTGTTATGTTTATTGGTTGTATGTCGCGTGGCAGAATTTTTTCGAGTTTCCTGTGATAGTTCTCTCTAGTAATAATGCCTTTCTGATATATATATATATATATATGTTACTAATTTCAAGTAATAAAAGCATTTCCTGTTTGCAATTTTTTTTTTTTAAAAATCCCTTCATGTACAGAATAGAACATTATGTAATTTTTTTTACTTATAAATTTGAGAATTTTTTTACAATTTAAATATTCTGATATTATTAGCAATATTCTCCTGTTCTAAAACATTTTTTGTGTAGTTAACTTTTTAAAACATTATCTATTTGAAAATTACTTTTTATAATATCAATCAGTCATTGAGGAAAAGAAAAAGAAATCATGAGCATTTCTTCCATCTCTGAAATGCGGGAAAGGTATTTTTTGAAAATAATTTTGCACAAAAAGAAAGAAAGAAAAGCTCTGCAGAAATTTTTTTTCCCCAAAAATTCCGCAGATAAAAAAAATCAAACTTTAAAAATCTTACTTCAAGAACTCTGTAATGTTCTGCGACAATGTCACAGTGTTGCCACAATTCTGCCACAGGGGTTGTATGTCTAAAAACACACAGGACGTTAAACACATTAACTTTCTTTTTTAGGATTTCTAATGCTATGGTAATTCTTATTGCATTTTTTAATTTTATTTAGAGTATTGTTCTGAGATACAAAAGTTTCTAGATGGCAAATTAAACATGAGCAAGATCCATCTTCTCAGGAATGACATTTCTGCAGAGTTTAACGATTCCAAGACAAAGACTGAATGGCGAGAAGGAAACCAGAAATGTTGCTTCAATTACTTCCTTCTGGATCCAAGAGTTACTCAGAATTTGCCAGCACGGCACGCTCAGCTTACGTATCAGGAAACATTTCAAACTTTCATTGATGCCATCTTTTATGTGGGCAAAGGAACTAAAGGACGGCCTTACAGTCACTTCTGGGATGCAGTCAAAGCTCTAGCTGGTTTACACTCTGTAAGTAAAATAATAGGGTGAAAGCTTTTTGTAAATTTAATACTCATTAACAAGGTGCATATCGTTTTTAAAAAGTGCTTAATAGTGCTTATTTTCGTTTTCAAAATCCCTTGAAGGTGCTTTTTACATGGGCAGGGATGAGGTTTATCCGCTTTTTTAGCAAATTTCCCCTTTTTTCTCTGTTGTCTCTCGAATTTCAGCCTTTTTATCAAAAAATCCGATTCTCTAAAAGTTTCGTTTTTAAAAAAATAAATACTTGGCTTTTTCTGAAAATTCAGGCGTCGAAATAAAATAATTATATTTATTTCCGATTTTCAAAGATAAATAAAAAAATTCAAACTACGTCAAAGCTACTAACCCTTCTGCATTTTTACTTATTTTAACTATTTTCTCTGCTTTTATGCGCAGAAAATAAGATTTTCCGTAATTTAGACGTTGCTGCTGCCTGTGTGCTGGCGGGAAAACAAACGAAATAATAAAAAAATAACAGTGGATTTGCGGTGAAAATATTTATTTGTTTATTTAAATAATCTTGTAAATTTTTATTTATTGTGTCGAAACAAAAACAATGCAAACAAGCCTTTTAGNCATTTTTGACAGTGAGGTTTTTGACGTGACGGTTTAAACCATGGTTTAAACTGTCAAAAACTGTCACATGTCAAAAACCTGCCAACCCTGGCTCATTTAAATAATCTTGTAAATTTTTATTTATTGTGTCAAAACAAAAACAATGCAAACAAGCCTTTTAGAAATCCGAAGTTCAGAATCTGCTAATATCTTGATTCTTATGCACGGCATTTTAATATGAAACATGGATTTTCATATTTATCTGATTTAAAAGTTTCTCGTTGCGATTCTAAATGTCATACATTGCATTTCCTATTTACGAGATTTAAAAATCCAATATCGCGGTATGTATTTACACGCTTTTAAAACCCTATATAACAATTCTTATTCACATATTGAAGTCTAAAATCCAATGTCGTGATTCGTTTATGTAGTTGTAATATCAAACATTGATTTTCGTATTTATACGTCATTTAAAAAATTAGACATTGTGATTTGATTTAAAAGCCACATATCGGGATTCATATGCTCTCAATTTAAAATCAAATATTGCAATACTTATTCACACAATTTTAAAATCATGCATGTGATTCATGTTTATGTGATTCATATTCATACAATTTTAAAATTAATCATCGGGATTTATAATCACATGGTTTAAAAATCAAACTTTTTTTTGTCAAAATTTTGGATAGCTTCTACATATTATNATTTTCACGTATATATATATATATATATATATTTTCATTCTCGGATTTCTTCTTTTTTGCTTTCTGACTACTCTCATCCCTGCATGGGGTGTTTTTGAAATGTGCTTAGTTTTTCCTGCTTGAAAATGAGATATTTTATCTTTACCGTGTCGATTATCGTCACGTATTGCGCAAAAGTGTGCTTTCTATACAACATTGTCACAATTCATGCAACCACAATTTATTTCCGCGTCCCGTAGGTCCGTTGTCTATGAAAGCACCATTCATTTTACATATTTGATTAAATACTCCACACCGCTAATACTTCACATTGATTAATACTCCACTCCGCACACATGCGTCTACTGAGCTGGATTCGGTGAGATTCTTGTACTCTCATGTGCAACTCTGCTGCATTTTGCAGGATATTCTCAATTTCAGGTTTCATTTTCCACCATCTTATATCAAACCGAAAAACCTCCTGATCTTTTTAATGGCTAATACAATCAAGAAGAGAGTTCTTTGTCAGAAACTAGTTATTTTATCATAATCATATAAAGTCTTTGAAAGTTATTTTGCATTTTGCTAATGTATATAGTGCTTAAAAAATTTTAAGTGCCTAAAAAGTACTTAAGGTGCTTATTTTTTGTTGAAAGATTTGGCCATGCATCCTCAATTAAAGTAAGAAGGTGAAAGCTTTTTGTAAATTTAATACTTATAAAGTAGAAGGGCTGAGTGGTATTTTAGTGGCTCCTTAAGAGGACTCACCCCCCTCTCCGTCACGGCAGCTAGTGCTTTTTCTCTTCTCTTAATTTGTTTGCATTTCGATATTTTGAAAGAAATTCTTTCTGCATTTGAAACTCAATAGTTTACTCAGTGTTTATTCTTCTTTATTCATCTTTAGTATACTCTACTTGAATAGTTTATTCTTTCTAGCTTAACAAAGTTCTTAATTAACAAAACTCTTGTCAGGGCAGTCTTGACATATGCTTCTGAAGCTTGGACATTGCAATATTTGAGAGAAAGATTTTGCGGAGTAAACTTGGTGTTGTAAATTAAAATAATAACTGGAGAAGGAGATTTAACTTTGAACTGTACAAGATTTATAAACAACCTGATATTATTAAATACATAAAAATAAATAGGATGGAGTGGATGGTGAGCTTGATTTGAGTGAGTGATGATAATACAATAAAAACATACTACTTTTTATTCTAACTGGAACAAGTATGCAAGAAAGGCCGCAGTTGAGATGGGTTGACTCGGTGGAGTCTGATTTTCTTGCAATCAATGAAAAGAATTGGAGGTCAAAGATAAATTGGAAGTCATTATGGAGAAATCTTTCAGAGGAAGGCATTGGCCCACATTCTGCTGTCTGGCCAACTATGATGATGAGTTTTTTCTGTGAACTCAATATTTTTTTATAAGTCTAAATTTTAAATTATTAAGGGGGGTGAAAAATTGGAAACAGAGTACCCTCTAGCAGGGTGCGTAGTGTTTTTAAAAAGTGCTTTTTTTTTTCGCTTTTTAAAAGCTCTTAAAGGTGCTTTTTCCATTGGGAGTTTTTAAAAAGTGTTTAATTTTCCCATTATACTGTTGATTTTCGCCACGTATTATACAAAAGCGTGGTATTCAACGTTTTCACAATTTAATGTGCTGAAAAATATTTTTGAGTGCTTGAAAGTGCTTATTTTTTGTTGAAAAATTTNTGCGTAGTGTTTTTAAAAAGTGCTTATTTTCGCTTTTTAAAAGCCCTTAAAGGTGCTTTTTCCATTGGGAGTTTTTAAAAAGTGTTTAATTTTCCCATTATAATGTTGATTTTCGCCACGTATTATACAAAAGCGTGGTATTCAACGTTTTCACAATTTAATGTGCTGAAAAATATTTTTGAGTGCTTGAAAGTGCTTATTTTTTGTTGAAAAATTTGACTACGCACCCTGTAATAAGTGCTTCATTTCCCCCTTTTCAAAATGAGATTTTTCCTTTACCATGTTGATTTTTGCTACGAATTATGCAAAAAGACAGTCAGTTATCATTGTTAAAGAAAAATATCAATATATATATATATATAGTATTATATATATAGTCAGGGGTCTGTCCAGGTCAAATTTACTACCGTTTAGTGCTATCTTCACAAATTCAACTTAAGGAAAAAAAGGTATTTTCACAAAATACTTTTAAGAAAGCAAGTTCTAAGATTCTTCCCCCTCTGCTCCTTCAAATTTATTTTGTTGTATCCCTGTAAACACATTAAACCCTGGGCTAATTACGCATTTCGATTTGCAATGGAACTTTTCCATAGATTGCTACTATGACATAGTAGAAGAATTTGCTTCCCACTCAGTTTGTAAGAAAACTGCTTTTCCTCCCCACGCCTGGCTGAAAGAATGCCGGAATCCTGAAACGCCATGGGAGAAATGGAGCTTCAGCTACTCCGTTCCTTAACTGAAGTGGAAGAAAAAGCACTAGTACCATGCAAACCCAGTTCTCATTGTAATCTATGGAGGAAAAAAAAGGAGCTTTTCCGAGTAAAAGGAGCTATTCTACGAACAGGTAGCATGTGTTTGGTCAGTTAGTGCAGTGTGATAAGCCTAACCTGTCGCTTACGCCATATTAAAGCAAGGTTTTTTTTAAAAAAAAAAATGTAATGACATTATTCTACATTTATTCTAATAGACCTTTATTTTTTTTATGAAACTTTTTTCTGTATGACCCACAGTTGAAAATGTTCTCATTATGAAAATTACTTTTAGTGCTATTACTGCTAAATGTATGTTTTTATTAAATTCAAATTGAAATTTAACTCTGAACAATGATTTTTAAATTTGGATATAATTTTAAGCCAAAATTTTACAATAGCAAAATTGATTTTGAATATACAGGAAAAATATATATAGAAATTTACCAGTCATAAATGATTTTTATTTGTAGTGGCAATTTTTGAAAATATCTTCTTATATATTAAAAATTTAACACAAAAATATGGTAACATATTTTTGTGTTAGTTTTGTGTAGAGAGATTCTATTTTGGGAATTCAAGGCTGTAAACATACCATTGAAATATAAATAGATTTATATTTCAAAGGAAGAGTTATTTTTAGAATCGTTCCCTCTGTCACTTCCATATAAGGAAGCAGTAAATGATTTTCCTTAATGCGTAAGGTTACAAGGAATGTTTGAAGTGTGCCTTTTTACCTCAAATCTGTGTTGGTATAAAACGTAAGAACGCTAGTTTTGCGTGTCCTTTTCCATCATGATGTGATCCTGATAAGCTGTTCCGAAATTGTCCGGAGTCTTGTCCACTCCCCCTCCTTTGCAGGAGTGGGGACGTGAACTGTTATCAATACCAGCCTACCTTTAAATAAACCTGTTTAGAACGTCTGATGGCTTACGACTGCATTATTTCAAGCTAAATACAACACTGATAACGGGGTTGTAGCCCTGTTATTACATATATATATATATAAACTCTGTAATCTTTCCACACTTTATCAGTGTGCATCTTTTTTAGTGGCAGTCCTGTCTGACAATATTAAAATAAGTAGGAAATTTAATGACTATTAAAATTATTAATTAACAAAAGAAAGCAAGCTAACAATTAATAATTAGCAAAGAAATAAGCTAACAAGGAATCACAAAAATAACAATGTAAAAAAAACTAACAATTGATAACTATAAAAAACAAGCTAACAAATAATAACTAGGAAAAAAACAGTTAATTACTAATAAAAAACAGAACAAAAGAACTGTTAAGCCAGAGGTGTCAAACTCGCGGCCCGAGATGAACATTTTTGTGGCCCAGTCAATATATCCGAACCAAAATAGAAATGTGAATTAGAAACGAAACCAGCATGTAAAATTATAATATACTTTTTTTATAAACTATAAGGATCATTTTAAATCGTACGAGCGAAAATGTCAAATTCTAATTGGCTGGAATGGAGTCTGTTTCACACTAAGCTATAAATTAGATAGTACATATTCAGGTTTATCCTTCCATAGCGAGGTACGTTCCTTATCTTGCTCCAAGGTTCTCAAACAATTCTGGGATTTGAAAGAAGAAATATGTAAGTTTTTACAAACTAAAAATCAAGATACAAGCTTGTTCTTCGGACAAATATGGTTGCAAGATTTATCTTTTATGGCTGATATAACCAAACACTTATCTGATTTAAATTTATTGTTACACGGCAAGGATCAGATCATTACGACATGTTTGACATAATTAAAGCATTCAATTGTAAACTATTTCTTTGGGTAAGGCAACTAAAAAATGAAGATTTAACGCAGTTCCCAACGTACAACAAGAACAAATCTAGTTTAAATGATACTCCATCGTATCAAAAATACGCAGAAAAAAATTTAAAATCTTAGAACAGAATTTGAAACAAGGTTTAAGGATTTTAATTCTTTGGAAGACAAATTTTGTTTTCTTCAATTTTTTCAATAAATATAGACTCAGTACCCAGTTACATGCAAATGGAAGTGATTGAGATTCAGTGTGACTCAAATTTGAAGGCAAAAGTCATTAAAGTGGGTGTGCCTGAATTTTACGAATATTTACCGGCAAGGTTTGAAAATACTCGAAAATTCGCATATGAAATTATTTCCATGTTTGGAAGTACTTATCAGTGAGAGCAATTATTTTATCTATATTCATAAGCATTACGGTCACATTGGGTCAATTTTGAAAGTAGTCTCAGCCGCTGAAATTTCTCCCGAAATAGAAAAGATAGTAGCAGAGAAGAGATGTCAAGTATCAGGGCGTAAACAATATTTTAACTTTATATATGTTTATTAGACTTCAAAATAAAAATATTTGTTTTCTATGAACATTGATTTTTTTTTTTTGCGGTTACCTAAAGTTAAGCATTGTTTATTTGGCCCAAGTTAGCTTTTGAGTTTGACACCTCTATATTAAGCTATGCGAGATAAAGAAGGCGAAATAAGAACTGCATAAGACGAAAGAGCTAATTAATCCTTTAATAAACGTACTGTTGTTTTTGCAATATATATTATTTTATTTTACATGCAAAATTATTGTTATAAACTATTTTACACAGTGTATTATAGATAAGCAAACAGCTTTTTTACTTTGCTTGCCGTTATTTTTTTTTTCTTTGCGTGCCATCAAATTTCAAAATGGTTAAAAGTGTGCTGCTATGAAAAAAAAAATTGAGAATCGCTGCTATAAACCAATGTGTTATAAAAAGCAACGGGTAACACTTCATTCAGTTTCAAATCGGTCAAATTTTCGATGCCTTTAAAGTATTTTTTGCTTCCGGCGGTGCTTTGAGTTATTGAAATTTCATTGTACTAGGCTTCGTTGGATATGCAAACCGCTTGTATACGCTTTTGGGCGATCCTTGGGAATGAGTGGAGAAAGTGTTTGAGACAATTGCAATTCTCTCAACACTTGGGAAAAAGTGTTTGGGAGAATTTGTTTATAAACTTTCAATTCTTCTTGTTGTTATATGGAAGAAGTGACAATTTTTTTTTTATCTTTTCAGAGATCTGATAAAATCGATCACATATTAGATATATGGAATGCTGGCTTTGGAGTTATTTCTCTCCATTGTTTCAATAATTGTATACCGGTGGAAGCTTACACTCAAGAGGCATGTATAATTGAAGCTCTAGGTAAGTTGCACTGATTTTACACTAATTTTAAGTACTAATTTTGTTGCTAGAAGGAAGGGTACTGTAAACAGCGTTTAGATATACACTTATTTCCCTATATTTACCTACAAAAAAATTATCTATTATCAGGGTTGCCTCAGGCGACTAAAATAGAATTATTTTCAGCATGAAGCGACTGTAGTAACTTTTTTAGTCAGAAAAGGCTAAAAAAGCAACTATTTTCAAGAAAAGGAGACTATTAAGAGACTTTTCAGTACTCCTACATGGTGCGTAGCGTTTTTAAAAAGTCCTTAAAGTTGCTTATTTTCGATTTTTAAAAGCCCTTAAAGGTACTTTTGTCATTGTGTGTTTTTGAAAAGTGCTTCATTTACCCTTTTCGAAAAGGAGATTTTTTTCTTTATTGCGTTGATTTTCGCCACGTATTGTGGAAACGTATGCTTTTCATTTTGTTCTATTCAACTTTTTCACAATTCAATTAACTGCAACCTGTTTTGGCCTCCCGTCGGTCCATAGCGTATGAAAGCGCCAATCATTTTACATGTTTAACCTACTTGCTAGTGCACGTGTGTGTCTACTGAGCTGTGTTTGGTGAGATTCTTGCACTCTCATGTGCAACTCTGCTGCATTTTGCAAGATATTCTCAATTTCAGGCTTCGTTTTTCACGATCTGAGATTGAACCGAAAAACTTCTTGATATTTTTATAATGTCTAATATAATCAAGAAAAGAGTTCTTTGTCAGAAACTGATTATTTTATCATGATCATGTTATTTCTTTGAAAATTATTCTGCATTTTATAATGTATGTAGTGCTTAAAAATATTTTTTGAGTGCTTAAAAAGTACTTAAAAGGTGCTTATTTTGTGTTGAAAGATTTTGCTACGCACCCTGTCTAGGGCAATAATGATTAGCATAAATTGGGTTCAAAATTTGTGGCCCGCTGGAGCTTCTGAACACACTGAATTTTTTCCTTAAGAAATAGAAAATGTTTAAAATTTTGAATTGCAAATTTGAGTCATCACTTTAAAATTTGTTCAATTTGCACAGATTCCATCGTACGTCTATTTTGTTTCTCGATCGCCTTTTCAACGGTTATTGCTATAAAATTCTGCATTTTTAGTACGGTATTACGGTGCGTGAATTACAAATTTGAATAATCACTTTTCGCATACATATTAGCTAAATGAATTATTGGTAAAAGAGAAAATATTTTAGAAAAAGTATGTTTTTTTTAATGGAAAAGTATTTTTTTGAATGATTTCTAGTGATTAAAAGTATTTAATTTTCTGAAAATATACAAATTTTTTTATGTAAAAATTTAGTTCTAGAACACTAACGTTTGTATAAAAAATATCATATTTGCCAACAAATGTCATATTTGCCAACAACCTATTTTTATAGTTTTCTGCAACTATTTTCATGCTTTAGGTTACTAAAAGCAACTATTTTATTCATTTGTTTCTGTGGCAACCCTGTATTATAATCTTTATAAAGAATACATTAATTTTGAGAAAAGCTTATGTTTTAAAAGAAAAAAAATTCTTGAGTAAGCATTAAACATAGCTGCCAACTCTATGGTATTTTCCAGTAGACTACTGTATTTTCCAGTAGACTACTGGATTTTTCCAGTAGACTACTGGTTTAATAAAAATTCTCCTGGGTTTTGTACATTTTAGAATATTCCCTAAAAGTGAGTAAGTTCCTTAAAAAAATCCCTATTGAAATAAAAATTTTGCAAGGATTATTCCTTGAATATTTAAATAAGTATTACTAATATATAAGAAGCATATTATAGAAATCAGTTTAAAACTTTTTTTGTTCTAAAATGTTCAGTTTATTTTTATTTAGAACCACCTTCTTAAATTAATTAAAAAATCTTAATTATTTCTTATGACTTAAAAGCCTATTCAAAATTATGAGTAAATAGGCAGCATAATAGATTCTGATCAAAGAAAGTAAAGGTGCATTCTTTTGAAACTTCCAAAACTATCAGAGGTATTTTTCTTTTAGAGATTAAGACTAGTGGCTGCCTACAAATGTTAGCAACATAATCATTTGGGGTTAAGATCTTAAGAAGAAAACAAAGTGTTTGTTTTTCACTTTTATATATTGAAACCAGAAATTATATGAAAAAAATGTCTGTTATTTATCCCTATTTCGAGTAATATTGCTCACATAAACATAGGGGAAAAAAGTGTTGAAATAGTGGAAGACTAGTGATTTTTAACTAGTTACAAACATTTATTTTTTTGTAAATTTAATGTAAGCATTTTAAACGAGATCTCGTACAGTATCCTATTTGTTATATTGAGTATTATAAAAGAGTCATAATACTGTTCTATAATAGAAAAAAATCAAGAAAAAAAGGGCAAAACAAAATATTTTTTATTAAAAATATCAAGAAAATTTCAACCCTTGCGAAAATTTTTAGAACATTAGTTCTTAATATGATCATATATTGTACTGCAATGTTACAATACAAAACTATTTTTAATGTTCCAAATTCTTGTTACAATATTGCCTACGCTTTTAAGATGTTCACAGAAACAGCAGAAAGAATAGGATATTGTTTTGAGGACGTGAAAGATGTTTCTTTTTACAAAACAGTTAATACTAGGGGGGGATGTATAAACGGTAAAAACCATGGGGTAAACAGATTTTTCCCAAGACTGTAAAAACCATAGTAAATACCAGTAAGAACCTCACATGGTAAATACAATGCCAACCCTTATTTTATTTTTCTGTATTCTAAAAAAAAAAATGAAGGTTGGCAGATATGATATTACTTATCTAATCTGAAAATTAACTTGGGTAATCTAAGTGTGGAATCAGGATTATTTCCACAATTTACCTCGATGATGTATGCATTAATGGTTTCTGTGCCATTAAAGTTTAAAAGTTTGTTTTGCTCATTCTATCAACTAATTTGTTGATTGTATTTATTGACTTGATTCTTTAGCTATAAAAAAATATTAATTTTCTACATTGTAATATTTTTAACAGTTTGATTCTTTGTTATTATACTTTTGAAAGTACTTGATAATTGATTCTATCAACTAATTAGCTAATTATTTGATTGTTTCCTTTTCCCAATTCTTTTTTTACATAATAAGTAAAGTAATTCTTAATTTAAAAAATAGAATGAGCCACTCAATGTTGAATATGTTTAAAATTGTGCATAAATTGTTTTTATGACGGTTGATATAATCAAGAAAAGAGTTTTTTGCCAGAAACTAATTTTTTTATTATGATCATGTAAAGTCTTTTAAAATTATTTTGCATTTTGTTAATATATGTATGTTGCATACGCCATGTAGCGCCACCTGTGAGTAAGCAGACTCCCTTTCATTCTCTCACTGAACGGCTACGGGGAGCGAGCTCATTAAGATGTTCCAGCTCTAATTATTTTGTACTGCCATTTAAGTGTTTTTTGTCATAATAAAAGCTTTAAAATGCAACCCTAGACTGCTTTGAAGCTTCATCGACACTCCCCGTCCGTAACATGTATGAAGAACTTTCATCAATAGGAAGAAAAAAAATTATTAGTGCCCAAATCCTAATTATGATATTTTTATAAAGTGCTGAAATTTTTTTTTAGTGCTTTTTTTGGTTGAAAAATTTGGCTATGCATTCTGATATAACGATCACACCAGAGTTGCTGACAATTATAAGCTCACAGTGTACAGTGATCCAAATTAAAGACAATATCTGAGCTTTGCATTTTACCCTATTTATCTGATTTTGTCTTAAAGCAGTTAACAAGCTTTTCATCTGGATTACCCATATACAAATCCCATATTTTGAAACAAATCATTATTATCAAGATCTTTCAAAAATTTAAAATGTTTATTGTTTTTCTTCTTAGGCTTGAAGAATCTCACTAATGTGAAATCTGGTGACTATTATGGCCAAAGCACTAAATGGAAGAAGACACTGAAGCGTCAAGTTGGAATTTTATTTTTAAATAAGGCTCTTCAAATCTACCTAAATGAGGGAGAGAAGCAGATCAAAGCGAAAGATCTCAGGAAAAAGTAAAATTACCTATGCAATGGGTAATCATACTACAAAGTGCAATACAACACCGCTAATTTAAAATCACAATAATGTAAAAGAGGGCATAGAGATTTTGTTGAAGATTTCATGGGAGACATAATTTTAAATTTGAACTTAGTTTTATTTTCCCATTGTTACATCTTGTTGTTATTCTACGACTCATATTTTTAACATGTTAAACGTTAACTTATGTTAAAACGTAACGATACCAGGGTTGCTACTCCACCGGGAAAATACAGGGAATTTAAAAATCACCTGAAATAACAGGAAAAATTCAGGGAATTTTTATTTTTTCTTTACAAACTGGTAGAATTTTGTTTCTTATTTTCGTCTTTTAAAAAAGGGTGATCACTCAAAGCATAATCTATGGGATCAGGGGTCCGTCTAGTTTTTTTTTACGAGGTACCTATTTTGTGAAAATTTAAACATAATTTGTGAAAATTAAAAATAATATTAAAAAATTAACACATAAGTAAGGTAAAGTAAGAAAATATTTTCAAAAACTGTTACTATTAACAAAATTATTTAACTGGTAAGTTTCTCTATATTTTTCTCCATATATTCAAAAAAAAAAAAAAANAAAAATAATTTTGCTATTTTAAAATTTTGGGCTTAAAATTGTATCCAAAAATAAAATTCATTGTCCATAGTTAAATTTCAACTTGAATTTAATTTAAAAAAAATATATTTAACAGCACTAAAAGTTATTTTCAGTATGAAAACATTTTAAAATTATTTTGTGAAACTACCGTTTTTCTTAAAAGTTAAATTTGTGAAGTTACCGCTAAACTGTAGTAAATGTGCCCTGAACAGACCACTGGGGATATTTAAGGATGATATTTCAGCTATACTAAACTATTTAATTTACTATAGCATTATTTAAGTATGTTTAGCTGTTTCCTTTTTCTCTCAATTAAAATTAGCCCAATATAGCTCTCACAAGAGCACAGTAATTGTTGTTTCCTCTTAATATATTGTGTATAATATGAACAGGGAAAACACAGGGATTCCCCCCCCCCAAATTTGAGTAGCAATCCNTTCTCTCAATTAAAATTAGCCCAATATAGCTCTCACAAGAACACAGTAATTGTTGTTTCCTCTTAATATATTGTGTATAATATGTACAGGGAAAACACAGGGATTCCCCCCCTCCCAAATTTGAGTAGCAATCCTGGATTAATGTTGCATACCAATTTTAAACAACTTCTAATAGTTATACTTTTAAATGACTGCATATTCCAAAATGTGATTATTGCAGAATTTTTAACAGTATGCAATCCAATGTTGCATCTGATGTTAGTGTGTACTTTATAAAGTAGTACAAATCATATACTTACTCACATGCAACTTCATGAAGTTAATGTGTTTTTCCCCAGTTAATCTGGAACTCATCTTTCTGAGAAAGTGTCAAATTATAAAAAAAACTGGGGTACAAATGTAAACAACTTCTAACAAAAATAAATTCTCATTTTTTAAAACAAAACTCAAAACACAGTTATACTTTTAAAAGACAATATTAATATATATTAGACAAATAGACAATATTAATAAATGTAAACAACTTCTAACAAAAAAAAGTTTGCATTTTTTAAAGCAAAACTCAAACCACAGTTATACTTTTAAAAGAAAAGTTGTTTATAAATATGCCAAAAAATGATAATTTTTAGTAGTTTGCAGAATTTTAAAGAAAGTTTTATTACTGGTGCTTCATGTGATTTGCAAGAAGTATGTTCCTATTTTTGTAGTTTGTTTTTTGTTAAAGAGTCTAAAAATATATAATCAGAAAACAGTATAATAAGTAGTTAATTTTTAATCTCTCGTTGCTCACAATTTTTAAAGTCATTTAATCCCAATTGAACTCATTTAAATTATAACCTTTGAGTTAATTAATGAAGCTAAGGCTTATAAATAAGCTTTATAATACTTATTCTTTAGACTATGAATTCTACATAATTAATTTTTTCAATTTAATATAAATGATGTTACATAATTTCAATCCTTCAAAATAATAAACATAAGTAAAAGTAAGTCTATTACATATTAGTATTATTAAAGTAATAGTTAATTATTATTACTTTTATGATTTAAAATCAATTAAGAAACAAGGGGACATGACATAGATATTAAGTGTACAAAAAGGTTTATATTTCTTAGTAATAAAAAAATTATGTTAGTTAATGTAAATAATTCTGTTAGTGTAAATACAATTAGGTTCTTTCTCAGGTTAAACTATGCACATTATCATGTTTTTTAATAATTAATTACTAACTATTAAGTAATTAAAAAAATTAAACATATTTGCTAACACCATTTTTTTTACAGAAAACTGTGATTGTTCTTTGACTAAATATTACATAATTGATTTTTATAAATCAAATATTTTTTGTAAAATTTTGTGTTTCTTAAATGTTTATTATATAGTTTCTCTTTCTCAATACTGTTTTTCTTTGAATAAATTTAACTAAAATGCTTTTTGTACCTTAAAAATTTGTACTTCTAATAGAAAACATTTGTATTATGATAATCTATGATAATCTGTAATCTAATAATCTTGTTATGAAAAAAGCTTTACTAGTTTAGTAGAACTGATTATTACTAGAAAATTCTTTTCTTCATCATTAAGATCAATTTCATTTTAATTTCTTAACAGGCAGGTTTTTTACTTGTTTAATAACTTGTGTTTTGTAGTAGATTATGATTTTTAAAATTTTAAAGAATTTCAGTTTTATGACATCATCTGATAGAATTTTATTAAAGTTAGTTTATAATTATTAATAGTAAATGTGCATAAATATTTAAAAAAAACTCACACTATGCTCAATTTTTAATTTAAATATCTCATAAATTAGATTATCATAAATTATTTCTCCAAATCTTTCATATTTATGGCTGTTCATTAAATGTAAACAACCTAACATGTTTTATAAATTCACACAAATTTTATGTATTACCAACATAATCTGAGGCAACAGATCAAATCCTTTTATTTTTATTGTTTTTATTATAAGAAGTAAGTTTAGAATGAAGTAATTTGAGAGAACAAATCATCTGTGATTCTATGTGTGTTTTGATAAATATTTTTGTTAATGTTATTTTTTTATGTCTTAAAATAAAGAAAAAATAAAACAATAACTGAGTTTTTTTTTTTTTTTTAAATTTGGCTTAGTTTTATTTACAAATAAAATTTTGTTTCCTATATTTTTTTTTAAACTTGTGTGTGCTGAGTACCAGGTTAATGGGAAGCACTTAAAAGTTTTAAATTTAACGTGAAAACAAATGCTGATTCTTGTTTGTGCATAAATTCACTAAGTAGAGTATTTATAATAATTATCTGTTGTTGTTGTGGCTTATCCCCCAAATGCCTGACGAAGTCAGACAAGATCCATCAGGCCGTTGACCCTAAGAAAACCGTATATTTCCTCTTTGGAAAGTTCCAAACAGTCCAGGATGTGTTCGGGAGAAGCCTGCTCAGTATATACAATTATCTGTTTGGAATTAATTAAAATGAAAGTTAATAATCTTGTAAAGTAAAACAAGAATATCTAGAGAATTAAACAGGGTTGCCATTCGACGTGGAGAGTAGGGAAAACCTGGAAAATGCAGAAAATTTAGATTTTTCTTCACAAATTGGGAATTTTGTTTCTTATTTTTGTCTTTTAAAAAATGGTGATCACTCAAAGCATTAATCTATGGGATATTGAAGAGTGATATTTCAGCTATACTAAACTATTTAATTTACTATAGCATTATTTAAGTATGTTCAGGTGTTTCTTTATTTCTCTAAGTTTTCAAGCAATTAAAACTAGTTAGCCCAATATGGCTCACATAAGTGCACAGTAATTATGTTTCCTCTTGTATATAATATATACCGGGAAAACGCAGGGAATTTTTTTCCAGACTCGAGTGGTAACCTTGTTAAATGAAGACAATGGTAAAAATGAACAGTCTTGTGGGGGTTTTGAATTCTGGAGACATTAGAATTAATTGAAGTCGATCTTTGACAATAAATGAAGTCTCATACCTCCGCAATTTTGTCAAAGGTAACTAATTTTCTTTTTAATATCATACATACTTTTTTGGGGGGTTGGAAGAATAGGGAGAATTGAACTTTGTTACATAATATGTTTTCAGGATCCCAACATTTTATAGAAAACTTTTGTTTCATATCAAAATTTTGTGTTAAACTTAGTTCCTTTATATTGTTAGTCTTAGTTGAATTAAAAGCAGAACTTGTTAAATACATTTCAATTCATAAATTAATAGCTACTTATTTAGGATTTATAAAAGATAAGTAATTCTTTTTTTTAAATCTATATTCTAAAAACTTTTTATTAAAAAAGAGTTCTGTTAAATAAAGCAAGTCGTAATAGTAGAATTATGTACTTGGTAAGTACATAATTCCTTAAATAAAGTAGCTTTATGCTCAAACCATTTAAATTCACTAGGTTTGCTTCTATAAATATATTCTAAGGAGCCATTATTCACAAGTAGTTTTATTGAAGTAAACAGGTTACCCCAAGCGGTGTCAGGGAGATATAGAATTGGCAAGTAATTTGATTCTGGGATAAAAAGTATGGGAATAATGCAATTCAAGGTTGAATGCCTAAGTCTTGCAACAAATCCAGAATATAACTAATTTGGGGAACAAGAAGCAGCCCAAGTAAATAAGTCTAAAATCAGCTTCTCGTTGCAAAAATATTGCTGCAACATGCATAAATTTTTCTGTATAATATGTATTCAAATTAGAATAATTTCTGAATAATATTTAGTTTTCGAAATTAAGCCATCTACATAAAATAATTTTGGTTTTTAAATGCAAGTAAATTATAAGATAGCTGTCAGTATGACTGGTGTATATTTCATAGCAACTTTAAATTTTTCCATTTTTTGAGCAATATATTGCTTTTATTTTTAATTTATATACTTGTGTGTTACAAAACCTACAACATGTTAAACCTTTGCCTAGTAAAATTTAATCTTTGATGAAATATTGCCATGTGGTTATTGTAAAAATGTTACTTGGAATTTTCGCTGGAATGTCAGGGAATTTTATTCTAAAATTAGGTGGGAATCTTGAGTTAAGTCTCAGACTTAAGTGTTGGTAGAACTTATTAAATACATTGTAATTGTTAAATTAAATATCCACATATTCGAAGTAAAAGAGAATTTTATTAAGATTATCTAAAAAAAGAGAGCAATTATATTTGTATCATCTGTGATACAAATATAATTTTTGTAGAGCTATTTATAAAAGTAAAATCAATAGTGTTTAGAGGGGAAACCAAGAAATGTTGGATAAAAATTCTTTAAAATTTTCTCCTGTTGCTAACAGATTTTTCCTGAACATTGTGAAGCAATAAAATTACCTGAAAAGGATATTATTGATCGTAATGGCAATAACGCTTGGTAAGTGCGTTCACAGCTGCGAACTCTACTGGATTTTTCCAGCTTCTACTGGTTTAATTACAATTCCCCTGGTTTTTGTACATCTTAGAAAATTCCTTAAAATTGAATAAGTTTCCTTAAATATTCCTATTGAAATAGAATTTTTGTAAAGATATTATTGCTTGAATATTTAAATAAGTATTCCTAGTACATAATAAAGAGAACCTCATTTATAGAAATCAGTTCAAAACTTTTTCTGTTCTAAAATGTTCAAATTATTCAGAACTCTCTTTTTAAATTAAGAAAATCTTTTAATTATCTCTGATAAAATTAAATGCCTATTAATATTCGAAACTATACGTAAACATAACACATAACATTTCAAATATGTTTAATGTCAATCATAACTGGAAAATATATCAGTTTTTCTATTTTGATGGCTATAAAAATCTCTAAAATTCCCTATGAGTAAAATATTTACTACAATACGCAACAATTATCATAAAATTTATATTATTTTGTAAAATCTACTGGATTTTTTCCTATCCATGTTGGCAGCTATGATTATATATACCATCTTGCTTTAAATAATTATCTGGAATTTAGAATGAACAAATATGTTTTAAAAGTAATTAAATTTGTCAATTTGTGGATATTTTCCAACCTAGATGAAACATATCAAAATAAATTATTATTTTCTTAGTTTTTCTAATGTTAGCATAAAAATCCATGATTAAAGCAGTCATGCTTTCAATTGTGATATTTTAGAGCGGAAAATAGTTTTTATTAAGATCATTAAAAAAAAAAAATACATATTATTCATTTCTTGATGTATAAATATAGAATCTACATGAGTTCAGTAGTCAAATATAATTGTCGGGGGTGAGTTTAGTGGGAGTGGATGGATCTAGTCCCATCGTCTGGCACACCCATCTCGCAAAATCTATTTTTTCACTTTCTGCATTCTTCACAAATGGATGGTTCTGAAATTAATAGACATCAAAGATTAATGCATTTGCAGCTTCTGAAAATGAAGCCCATTTCAACAAAAAAAGGAAACTTACGAGAAGGGTTTTTAAGTCTGCCCTTTCGGCCGGGTTCTTCTTCAGACTAAAAGAAGGAAGAAATTATATCATATTAGTATATGGTTGAAGCCGCAGAGGTGCCAACTCTTTTACTACTTATCATTAATTATTACAGTATCATTGTCAGAGCTGCGATGGCTCAGGGGATAGAGCGTTTGCCTTCCAATTAAGTGATCGGGGTTCGAATCCCACCAATGGCTGCTCACTACGAATCCGCATCCGGCTTGCACCAACCACAGTGCTGATGTGAAATATCCTCGGTGGTAGACAGATCATGGGTTACAGTCCTTTTGCCGTCAGGCTAACCGTGGGAGGTTTTCCTCTCCATGTAACGCAAATGCGGGTAAGTTCCATCAAAAAGTTCTCCACAGAGGCAAATTTCTCCCAATACTTGATCCAGGAGTTCCCTTGTCTTCTGGATTGAGTTAAAAATTACAAGGCTACCGAGTTGAGCATTAGTAGTTGTAAACCCAGGAATTGGGTCGGCTTTTCAACAACGGTTATAAAATAAAATATCATTGTCAAGATTATGAATTTCTGTTTAAATACAATAAAATTTCATAAACAGCAATATTTGCTGCAAACAATAAAATTTCATGCCAAGAGTTATGAAATTGTATTGTTTGCAGCTAATCTACAATAATTTTTTTTTCTCCAAACAATTCTAAAAGAAATAAATAAATAACAATGATATGATTGTAACAAGAAATAAAGAGTGTCAAAAACACTATCCATAGCTCCCAACTCTATTGGTTTTATTAAAATTCTCGTGGTTTTTGTACATTTTAGAAAATTCCCTAAAACTGAGTAAGTTTCATACAAAAATTCATATTGAAAAAGAATTTTCATACAGGTTATTGCTTGCTTGAATATACTAATACATAATGAAGTGAACTTTATTTATTGAAATCAGTTTATAACTTTTTTTGTTCTAAAGTATTCAGTCTACTTTTATTCAGAACTCTCTTTTTAAATTAATTAAAAAATCTTTTAACTATCTGAGAAAGAAATGTCTATTACTATTCGTAAAAATTATACATAACATTTCAAATTTATTTAATGTCAATCATAACCAGACAAATATTTTTAAGAATTTTTTTAAGTTGTTGATTCAGAAAATTTTAAAGATAACTTTTTAGCTTAAGATTGCTTTGGAATTCTTGTGAGTTATATCTTCCTGCAACTCCTCCAAAAATGAAGTTAAAATGAAATTAAAACACTGATCATTTTTGACATCATGCACATTTGAGACATACCAAAGTAGTATATACTCCTGTCACTCCCAGGCCAAACTTCTGACTGAGGCTTCCAATAAATTATTTGAACTAGAAGCTAAAAATGAATATATCTAAGCAGCACTAAAGTCAAGATCAGTTATGATTCATTTCTGCAAAGCATCAAACTTCAAATGTGTAGCAGATAGAAAAAAAAATAATCTTAACATAGTAAGCCGGAGAATTCTATTAAATTGAAAACCTTTGTGAATAGTTGTAGACATAATGCAACTACCACGTCAAAAATTGAACGATAGATTGGGTAGGGTAAGGTGGATGTCAGATTGGTGGTGATGAGTTCTACTTTAATAAAAATGAGTGGAGTGCTGCATGATGAAAAATTAATAGACTTCGGTTTTTTGTTTAAAAATAGCATATATATATAAAAAAAATTATTGATCAGAATTTTATTTAGGTTATCTGAACTATAAAACAAGCGTGAAAAAGTAGAGCCCGTTTTCTTTCTCCAAGTTTTTATTAATTTTAATTACGATGCACAAACAGGAGTAGATTATAACGAATTTTTAAAAAAAAAATTACTGGCGTTAGCTCTTGGTACCAAAGCATTCAGAAGCTAAAGAATTAATTTCTTTTATCCATTTTAATCTAATCTAATCCATACACTGAGCCGTGATGGCTCGGGGCTTCAAGATGAATCGTTTTCTTTTCTATCTCTAATGAAAAACATGCTTTAGAGAAATTTATTTTAAAAGGTTAACAGTTATCAGCAATATTAGTAGTCATTCTACACTATTCAACGACGGTTATATATAAAAAGAAACAAAAAAACAAACAAATTATATTTATTGAGATTAGTCTTACACCATTTCATATATACGTGAATGGATTAAAGTTATGACGTAAAGTTATAACGTTATTCACGTGAATGGATTAAAGTTAGGTGCAATGTCAATTTCCAACATGAATTTGCCAGATCTAATATACTAAGAGCGGTGGTGCACTGGCAACTTCTACCTTTTCACCTCCATATTTGTTATTTGACGATCGTATTATTGCAAAATTGACAATTTCAGAAAAGCGTAATTATTTAATAAACATGTTTTTAATATTGGAATCAGTCTTCATTTTTTTAATAAACACACACGATGCCAATAATAACTGCCCTTTGTATTTAATTAAAGTAGTTACGTTTAACTGTCATAAATAATAACAGCTTAAACGTACTGATAATAAATAACTGAATAAAAATGTTCACATTTTAGAGGATTCAATGTGTCATTAATAGTCTTATCCAGGATGCGTAGCCATATTTTTCTACAAAAAATAAGCACCTTTAAAGTATTTTTTAAGCACTCAAAAAATATTTTTTAAACACTTTCCAAAAAGAAAAAATCAAAATTAGGATCTGTGCAGTAATAAAAATTATTTTTTCTATCGTTCAAAGTTCTTAATTTATGGAACATAAAATCAACAAAATTAAAAAACATTTTCAAAAACTTTAAATGTTTGTGATCAAATAATTAGTTTCTGATAAATATTGCCGTGAAAATCATTAATTTTTTGTAATTTAGAGCGACAATTTTCGCTTTTCAACTTAAAGCAATTCTAATAGGGTAAATACACCTAAGATTTATTACCATTATTAGTGAATATATTCTTTTTCTCGTTTTCTTGATGGCACAGGAAAACTACTCAATTATTACCAAGGGGTAAGTAACAAAAATATATTTAAATCGTTAACATGATTATTACGGTACAATGGTAGACATTACTACTACTACACTACAATGTAGATGTTCTTGCTTTTTACAAAATCTTTGTTTTCAGTTACAGTTACAATCTAATGATAAACTCCGCCATCTATTGGTGGTTCAATAACAAGTATTTCTACAACAATCGACCGGCAAAGAAAAAAAATCTATATTTAAAAGGCAGAAAATTAAGCACTTTTTACAAACGTTGAATAAAAGAAGCACCTTTAAGGGCTTTTAGAAACGTAAATCAAACCTAAGCACTTTTTAAAAACGCTAAGCACCCTGTACTCACAATGTGAATATAAACATCAGTAACTATTGTTAAGAGATAATAACTGTAAGGAGAAAATACATACCATCTATCTACAAGGTCTTTAAACGCATTAGAGAAAACTCCATCAGGCACAGTTGGTGGGGGCTGAAATAGAAATACCAAATATTAAATCGATTGAAAAGAAATTATTATGGTAGTCTTAGAAACAGGGAACCAAAGCCAGAAAAAAAATTCGATGCTCCAGCTATTTTACTGTATTTGTGCACGCTTTCTAGTTTCAGATTTTAATTTGACATTTTTATTATGTTAAGGAACAATGAAAAAGGACACGATGCTTCCTTGCTAGAAAAGGGCCCTCCACATACCAGTTTATTAAAATGTGTAATATTAAGTAACAACTGAATCTGATCCTCAATGTTTAAATTACCCTCTTATACTATATTATGTGTATACAGGGGTCTGTCCAGGGCAAATTTACTGCCGTTTAGTGGTACTTTACAAATTTAAATTTTAGGAAGAACTGTAGTTTCACAAAATACTTTTAACATATTTTCGAAAAATATTTAAATATTCTTGAAAATATTTTCTTATTTTACCATTTTTTTGTGTTGATTTTTTACTATAATTTTTAAATTTCACAAATTATGTCTAAATTTTTTCACAAAATAAGTACCTCTAAAAAAAACCTAGACAGACCACTGGTATATTCACCACAATAATTCTCACTTTTGAAAAATAATTAAAGGCAACTTAAAAGACAATCTCTATAACAATGTAAATTTTATTCTTAAAAAAAAAGATTCATTGATAACAACTTGAAAGATTTTGTTATATTTTAAACTGAAAATTATGAGAAAATAAAAATTTAAAGGTGCTGTTTTTTAAATGAAAGGTATTATTAGGCATGAAAGGTAAAAAAATAATGGTAAAAGTTAAAATCACTACAAAAAAATTATAAATATACCCCTCCTTCCCCCCCAAAAAAATAAATAAATAAAAGATGTGAACATCTCTGCGGCCGAATATCATGCGAATTTTAACAATATAACTAGACAACATAAGAAATATTTAACTAAAGAATGAAAGAATGAAATTAAATTATTTACAATAACTAAATAAATCAATCTTAAGAAAATAATTTAATACTTCTTTCATATTTGATTTTAAATCCTTATTATAAATGTACTTTTATGCTGGGAATAGTTTTTCTAGAGCAACTTGGATAACAGCAATGGTGTTACAATGCGGCAGGCTATTTACATTTCTGTAGAATACAATGAAATTGCTGGAGCATGGGGAAATTTAGAGCTAAGGAAAATATGCTCCTGGCTTTGATCAATATTACTAAAATATTTAGAATCTTGATATTTCCTTGATTCTTCATTTAAATTAAATAAATATTCCTTTAAAACTACTGGACATACTTTATAAATATTATTAATTAAGCAATACAAAAGAAACTCAATTGAAGCATTTATTAAACACTGCTAAGCTACATTTTTGATGTTATCGTGCACCATAAAAAGTTAAGTGGTGTCAAAACTTCAGTTTACGGGTCAGCAGGGTAAACAGAAGCGGACTTCAGTTTACCCTGCTTTTAGCTTACCTTGCATTTGGTTTGTTTTGACTCTAGTTTTGGTACAGTCATCCCCACTTAATTGCATATCGGATAATCGAATAACCTGTTTATACGAATAAAATTTAATGGAACCAAATAATTTTATTTGAAACTAATGTTAAACTTCCCCATTTAAATGAATATTTGTTGTTTTTTGACCCCGCCTAGTTCTATAAAGAAGAGATACAGAAATGAAAAAAAAAACTGTTTCATTTTGAGAAATGTTTCATTAGCTTAAAAGGAATTTCCGTTTTTCAGTTAAGATAAGGATACAATAGATGGTCACTTCAATAAGGACTTCGTGTTCATTAGTTGGTCTACGCAGGTTTAATTTTGAAAGAAATAAAAAATGTCATGAAAGTCTTAGTAGAAACTGAAAGGGAAAATCTGATTTTGATAAATTAGCGAATTAAACGGGTATAAAAACAGTCTTCAATAATAGAATTTTTCGGAAGGGATCAAATAACATTTTAGTACACAATATAAAAAGGATAAAAAGAAAGACGAAGAAAATTAATAAGATTTATTTACTGCACAAAAGCTGCAAGTATATAGAACTCATAAAATAAGTTAAAAATGTAGAGAAAACCTGGAAAATAATAAGGATTAATGAAAGGAGAAGAACAAAAATTATTAAAATAAAATATTTTCAAAAAATATCAATAATAATTAAAAATATAAATAATAAAAATATATATACACACACAATTGTAGTTCAAAATAAAAATTTATAATCGTGTTCATTCTCGAAAAATATTACAGCACTCCACTCTCAGATCACACTAGAAACATTTTATTAGGAAAATTGATAACAGATTTGATTTTCTAAAAATTTCAATATTTAATAACGAAGCTAATATTTGAATTTAAAAATTTTCAACTGATACTCCAACATTTTTGGAATGGTTAAGTAACATTTATATTTATTATGATTAATAATACCCTACAGTCTAAATTTTGATTAGTAAAAGCTTATAATTTTTAAGTTGTAAAATTTTAAACTTAGGGACTGTCTACTTATTACATAACTTACAATGGAAGATCTATACTGCATTAAGAAGGCGAAATCAATTGTTGCATTTTATTTCTAATGCTGCTAACAATTAAAATTTTGTTTTCATTGCATATTCTACTGTTTTAAAGTAACTTATATTATTATTTGTCTCTTCAAGTAGAAAATATTTCAATTTCCAAAACATAAATGTTATGCATATTGATATACCTCATTAACAATGTAATCCAGAAGCTCGAATATAGATAAACTTGGAGTATCATTAGTGCCTAGATTAAGATTGCCTGTAAAGAAAAAGAAGAGAAAGATCAATTAAAAAATGAAAGAATTTGTGTGATTTGAAAAAGACATCTAACACCTTACTTGGTCTATTCTTCGAACTGGATGAGGGACACAAGCACTCTTTTTGTGCAAGATATTTAGCACCAAACAGAGAGGCCAGCTCCTTGTCATTTGGTGGCGGAATCGGATACCTTCCTATAACCATTTCAACGAGAGAAAGACCTAAACTCCATATATCAGACTGTACTGTATAATGTGTTCCCTGCAATCTTTCTGGCTGAAAATATATAATACAACAAGTTGTGTAGCTGCATTTTTTAACAAAAAATAATCACTTTTTGAAAACTCAAAAAATATTTTAAAACACCTTTAAAAAAATATCTAGGCTTCACCCATCAATATTTTTTTCTTCTTATTTTTGAAAGTTTATCATATTAATAAATAAAAATCAATGGAAAATTTTTCAAAGACTTAACATAATGATGATAAAATACAGGAAAAGCTGGAGTTTCCCACAACACATAATATAACGGGTTGGATAGCCAAATTAACAACAAAAAAAAATCACTTTCATATCATATCGTTATTAATATATGTCATATTATCATATTTATGTCATATTATCATATATATGTCATATTATAAGCAGGCTGCAACATATAAAGACGAAAGATACTCACAGACATGTAAGAACGCGTACCAACGAAAGAGTTTGCCATCGAGTCAATCAGCTGACCACTCACTCCAAAGTCACAAATTTTAATCTCTCCTCTGGAATTGACCAGAATATTTGACGGCTTTACATCTATGAAAATATTTTATAATTTTTAGAAGAAAAAAAATTACAAATTTATTTGATAGGTTCATTAAAAATTGCCTGACCTCTGTGCATGATCTGGTGCTTCTCACGCAAGTAGTTCAAACCTTTGAAAACCTAGAATTTAATATATTATACATTATACACTTGTAAAGGGTGGCAACAGTGAAACGAAAAACTTTGAAGTTGCTTAATTTGCACAAATAAATACAAGAAAACAGTATTCATAAATTAAAGTGCATACATAAAAAAAGTAAAGGAACAAAGTTTAGCCAAAAAAAAAAATTTGAAGCATAATATTTTTAAGCAACAAATATAGAGAAATCCTGATGAATATAGAGATGCATGTTTCCAAACAGAGTAATTATGAATCATCGGCTGATTTGTGAAAATTAAATAAAACTAAATAAAAGTATTTTTATCATTCTTCCCTTTGATCCACTCATTCTTGCAGACAAGATAAACAGCAAAGAAAGACATTTCTTAACTATACTTTACACATTTAGGGTTTTAAATGTATTTTAATAGCCTTAACAATAATATAAATACATCAAAAACATGGATATTATATGATAGCCAAACTTACAGCAATTGTTACTTTCCCTAAAATTTTTTCAGGTATTCTTCCAGCTTTTTTCAATACTAGATCTAATGATCCACCATTCTATATTAAATTGAAGAAACAAATGTTAGTAAAATTAAAACATTAGGTGTTTTAAGAAACACAGTGTGAAAAAAATACATAAAATCTGTATAACTTATGTTATCTTTTTATGTATTTTTAATATAATATTATTACGTTTTAATATAATATTATTGTTCTTTTTTAATATAATATTATTATGATCCACAAATTCCGAACTGCGCTTTTGAATAAAAATTTAATAACCTGCTTTAGCCATGACTATTTCATCTCAAATTTGAAATTTTTTCAAACTGTGAAGTTTTTACGATCTCTGAAATTGAGTGTGTGATTCATACTGATAGTAATCTTTTTATGCGAGGAGGGAAAAAAGTACGCAATTTTTTTGCGCTGTAGTGAAATGCCGAATTTTGTTTACTTGATTTCTCCCTTTTTTGCCCTTTAGGTTACAGTCGAAATGGGATTCAAAGCGAACAAAAGTTAAAAGTCAGGTAAAAGTTATAAAGAAGCGGAAAAGCAGAGGAATTCATCCCTACATACCATTTTTTAAAAAGTCGCAATTGAAAAAAAAAAAATTTTTTTTTTTTGAAAAGGGAAAGAGAATAAAGAATTTTGATTGTTTGAAAGTGTCTGGAATAAACATCCTTCCTGTAAACAGATGACCGTGACTTAGTATTGTATTTGAATTTTTCAAACAAATGGAATAAGATTCAAATAAATCCAACTTAATATACTAAAATATAGTAGCAGAAATTTTTTCTTTAGATGATATGATGAGAAGAATTTGGCAGTAGCAAAATTAAATTAAATCTAGACTGATGTTTTCTTTTAAAAAGGAGAATCATCACTTTTTTTTGTTGTCTTAACCACAGTTTTTTGTATTTTAAATATCTTTATACCTTACATGTCACAGGAATTCACAACAAATAAAACATTAACAATACATCAAAAAATTTTATTTGATCCAATAAAGGAACATTTTTTACAAATGTTCAATCTGTGAACTTTTGGTGATGCAACAGAAATCAAGTCTAAAGTCAAATTCTTGCCACGCTCGCTGCAACATGCCACATACGAAGGTGGTTGCGTTTCTTCGTCGATATGTTGCAACTGTGGATGATGCCACAATTGCAAGTAGATTATGCATCTTTCAACAAGAGCATCCCGCTCTTCATTGTGGGAGAGATGTTCATGATTTCCTAAATAAGGAGCTTCCTCATCATTGGATTGAAAGCTGGTTAGACAGCAATTCTATACATCTTCGATGAAACTCTCCAAACTTAAATCCCTATAATTTTTTTTTACAGGTTTACATAAAAGATTACATGTTCATGCCACTGTGCTTCATGATTTAACAAGAATTACTACAAAGGATCACAATACTGATCATGACATGCTGCAGCAAGTGAGGGAAGAATTTTGTTGGAGTTATTTATAATTTTGACTAATCAGTCAGATCTTCCAACATATCATATTTTAACTCATCACTTTTTCTCACTCAGCATCTAAATTTCTAGATTGACATTTTTCCTGAGGGAGTAACAAGTATGACTACTTAAAAGTAGTGACTACATTTCAAAAGCAGTTTATAATTACTACATTTAAAAAATAGTTGTAGTCAACTGCATTGGTAATAAAATAGTAGTAGCTAACTAGAAACACTTTAAACTGACAAAAACGTGATTATAAGCGTAAATTGAATCCTCAAACAAAATCAGTTTAATAAAAGATGTTATGTACATTTTGGAAGTAGTTTGTAATCACAACATTTAAAAAATAGTTACAGTTAACTGCATTGGTAATAAAATAGTTGTAGTTAACAAAACAATTAGTAACAACAGTAACAACAAAAACAATTTAGTTTTTCAGGAGAACTGATTCAAACAAATGAAAGGTTTTCAGCTATTAGAAAATTAAGAATGTGGAATTAAAAAATTTTTTACAGTTATTACCATGTATTCCATGCAAATGTTGATTTCTCCATCGCTATAAAAGGCTCCATAAAAACCAACAATGTGAGGAGAATTGCACTCATGAAGTACCTTCAATTCTCGTATAATTTGGTTCCTAATAGCTGGTTTTACTTCAAGATGAATAAGCTAAAATAGAAAAATAAATAGATCAATTATTACTATTGATAACAGAATGTCTGCTGAAATAAAAACTCTATCTAGCAAATAGGGCTGAGAAGATTTATTAAATCTAGGCTTCTTTCTAGAAAAACAAAGTTCTTAATTTACAAAACTCTTATCAGGTCAGTCTTGATATACGCTTCTGAAGCTTGGACAATGACAAAACTGAAGGAAAATTGTATCGCAATATTCGAGAGAAAGATTTTGCAGAGTATAGTTGGTGTAAATGAAAACAATGGCTGGGGAAGGAGATTTAACTTTGAACTGTACAATATTTATAAGCAACTAGATATTATTAAATACATAAAAATAAATAGAATGAATTGGATAGCTCATGGGATTGAAATGAGTGATGACAATAAAATTAATAAAGATATTGCTTTTTAGACCCACTGGAACAATAAAGCGGGTAAAACCACGGTTCAGATGGGCTGATTCGGTGGAGTCTGATTTTCTTGCAATTAATGAAAAGAATTGGAGATCAAAGATAAATCAGAAGTCGTTTTGAATAAATTTCAGAGAAAGGCATTTGCCCATATTGAGCTGTCTGGCCAACTATGATGATGATAAGAAAAATAAAAAAGGGTCTAAATCTTTCATGAAAAATAATTTTAATTTATGAAAACCTTTCAACAGTCACACTGTAAATGATTGCTAAAATATTGTTAAACACAAGTAATACTGATGATTACAACTTAGCTTACAAATCAAAAGAATTCTAGGTTAGATCATATTGAAAAGTATGATTAATTTCTGTGTGGCAATACAGCTTAGATCAAAGTGAAAAGTATGGCAAAGTTTTCAAAGGCATTCTAGCTTAGATCAAATTGAAAATAGTAGTGAATTTCTGTGCTGCAATACAGCTTAGATCAAATTGAAAGCACTCCAGATTGGATGAAATTTAAAAGTAAGTTGAATTTTTTAAAGTCGGAATTCGTTAAAAATAAAAAGACTGGTGGTAAGACTAAGCTTGTGAGATCAAAATCATTCAAAATAAATATTTTTAAGATAAATTCTTCAAAACACAATTTTTCTTAATTGAAAAAAAAAAAAGGTAGTTGCACCAAAAATGAATTTTTGTTGCAAATTTAATGATTTAATAATGATACTATTAGGGTGCAGTTATTAACTTTCAGGACTTATCTAACAACTTATGAAAATATTACATGGATTCATTTCATATTCATGTAATTCATTTCTATATGCCATACAGTTCTTCTGTACTTGAATACAAATGTTTTGGGAAAAAAAAAAAACTTTTAAAGTTCGTGTTTGGAAGGTTCTACAATTCTCATGTTTCTAAAGTCTTAGACATTCTTAAACCTTGTTTCTTTAGCAAATTTTTAAGTTGTGAAGATGAATTATTCATAATAAGGAAGCAGAGTTTTACTTTCTGAAACTGAAAAATTTGCTAGAATAACATTTAAGGATGTCAAAGACTTTAAGAAAGCCCAAGGTTGGAATTGAAAAGCATTGGGAAAAAATGAAATAAAAGTTGTTTCTGAAAGTTATACAGTTTTTACAGAAGTGTTTAATGTCAAGGCTACATCAAATATTAAATGGTTTGTACTAAATGGGTATGTAGTTCCAGTGTTCTCCCGAAGCGTTAGAACATGAACGATTACAACAAGGGCGGCCTGCACTGCTTGTCCTTTGATTGCAATAAATGCTCCCTGTTTGCCGTTTTTGTAAAAGTAAGCTGCCGTTTTTGTAAAAGTAAGCTGCCGTTTTTGTAAAAGTAAGCTGCCGTTCCTTAAAGCCACTGCCATTTTTTATTCAGATTCCATTTTGAAAAAATTTATATATTGTTTTTAAATAATAATTACAGACTTGTAAAATTATCTGTGCTTATGGGTTTAATTTTGATTACTAATACAAATATTTACATTGTTAGGATTATTCTCAACTGGTTAAATTTTTATATTTTTTTGGGGGAAAACACAACATAAAAGTACCATTTAAAGTCGTACACCAAAGGTGACAAATATATTAAAATATTTATTGATCTGTTTCGGAGCAGCCAATTTAGATAAATAATATGCAACTTGATAACTGCAAAGAATACATTTTAACCCAAAAATAACCTAAGCAAAGGTACTTTAACTTCACAGAAAGAATGGGAAAAAAAATTCAAACAAGAAAAGCGTAATTGAGTTTATAGTACCCTTTGAAAAGTATTTTTAAAACAACGATAAATAACAGACAACTTGATATGCAAAGAACACACATTTTAACCCAAAAATAAACTAAGTAAAGGTACTTTAATTTCACAGGAGTGAAAAAAAAACATTTCAAACAAAAGAAGTGTAATTGAGTTTATAATACCCCTTGAAAAGAATTTTAAAAACAACATTCTTTATATTAAGGAAATCATCAAATTTAAATTTTTTGTTCTTTTTATTAGTGCTCCTATACAGTTGTCTAGATTTACCTAATGGAAGATCCAGCCCTAATAATTACAGGGTATATGCTACATTTTAGATTTTCAAATCCATGACTTTCCACGACTAATTCCAAGAATTTTTCATGACTTATCAAAGTTACTATTTTCTCAGATAAAACAAAACAGTAAATTTAAAAAAGCACTATTATAACATTAATTGAAATGATAGGTATAACCAAAACTGTTATACTCTGCATCTTTATATCTTTATATTTATAGATTTTTAATTTAAAAAGCATAGTAAAGAAAGAGTTGAAGCAATAAAATAGCGGAAAAAATATGAAGGCAAATAATATTTTTTCTTTTATCCTGCAGAATTATATTCTAAAGTTACGTTTCCTGAAAGGAAAGAAAATACTCCTAATTATCCTGTTCTCATTTTGGAATTAAAAAAAATTCGCCAACGACTGGCTAGCTTCAGCTAGAATTTTAAATTGATAAAAAAAAGTAATAATAAATATTCTGAAATTACAGTTTTGCTCTAGAAATGTTTTTTCTTTCATTTTTTGAAAGTACACCATAATTTTTAAAGAGCATGATAATAGAAAAAATTTGGGGGGGATTCCATTTTAAAAATTAGATTTTTTGGCGACCTAAAATATGACTTTCCATGATTTTTTTTTTAAAAATAGATAAAATCATGACATTTCATGGAAAATTTTGCTCAATACTTTCACTTGAGACATGACTTTCCACGATTTTTCAAGACTTTCCAGGTGCGCAGATATTCTGTAATTATGATTGATCAGTTGAATAATTGATCTAGCTCTAATAATATTAAAAAAAAAAAAAAAATTATTATTATAATTAAATGATTTCAACAATCTATGAAATTTCTAACAATATATAACATTAATACATTCTATATGACATTTAGCGNCATTAATTTTTTGATGTGCATTAATTTGTTGAAGTAACATGTTAAGAGGACTTAACATATGTGTGCTTGTTCAAGGTCAAACATTCAACCCCACTTTCCAATAGGAAGTTAGAAAAGAGCGGTGTTCAAATTCAGAGAGGGTCGTTATATTAGGAGTTGACCTTTTTTACGGTCGTTATAGCAAGAGTAAAATAACGTTATCTTCTATGGATGTGAATTGGGACTCCTTCACGGGGTCGTTATATCATGTTGGTCGTTCTATCACAGGGTCGTTATAACACGAGTCGACTGTATAATTAAATGATTTCAACAATCTATGACATTTCTAACAATATATAACATTAATACATTCTATATGACATTTAGCGATTTAAACTACCAGATTATAATGTCTATAATTTTGTTACCTTCCGAGCCATGACTAATCCACTCCGTTTGTGCAATACTTTTGTGACGACACCCCCATTACCTGCACCAAGCTCACCTAAATTCTCAAAATCATCCACACTGAGCTCACCAACTTGTTGTTTCTGTGAGAGGAAATTTTCCAGTCTTTTTCTCTGCAATTCGTCAAGATCCAATCCTTCTAAAGTCTTCTGAAGCGCTTCAATGCTGGTGTCACATGATCTAAAAATATAGAATCATTACTTATCTATGTGTTAGAAATTAAAAAAGAAAGTAATAATAAACAAAACCAGTGGTCGGAAAAACTACATTATTTTTAAAGTTAACTATAACAACCATGCTACAAACAGAAGTTAACTACAACTACTTTTTTTAAACGTAGTGACTACAAAGCTGGTGTCACATGATCTTAAAATATAGAATTATATTACTTATCTTCGTGTTAGCAATGAAAAAAGAAAGTAATAATAAACAAAACTAGAGGTCGGAAAAGGAATCTTGTTTCATTCATATGAATGCTGATTTTCTTGTTATCTCATCAGTTTTTCAACCATCTCTTCATGGATATACATTTTACCCTGATTTGCCCTTCTAAACCACTGTGATTTTTCTTGTTCTATTTTTTATACTTTTTCTTTCCCGGCTACTGCGGTTTTTCAAAATTTTGTTTCTCACCTTCATTTTTCCATTTTAAATGGCAACTTTTTGTTTTATAATTCAAATCACTTTTGTTTCTTCTCATTCTGGTCAAGCAAATTTTGAAAACAAGTGCAGGCTTTTGAATGCTTGAAACATATTAAATATTATTTTCTATTTATATATGCAGTAGAGAACCCGTTATCCGGAAATCAGAAAACCGGAAAACAAAAAAACCGGAACAAAATTCGATAAATTTTCCCGCCATTTTAAAAAAAAATTTTTTTTTTCCTCATAAGATTTTAGGATTTTTCTTTCTTTTTTGAAAGATGTTTACCTTACCATCATTTTGGAAATAATCATTAGTGTATTACTTCATCGTTTTTTCTTCTTTTTAAGATTATTTCCAAATTTTTTTTTTTTAGTTGGGTTTAACAATAAAAAAAAACGGCTTTTTGTAGCGATTCAGAAAACCGGAAAAATCAGTTATCCAAAATAGCAATGGTCCCGATCGTTCCGGATAATCGGTTCCCTACCGTATTTTGAAGTGAATAAAGTTTTTAATCATGTAATATCCTACCGCTTCAATTTCTTTGGATTATTTATTTAATAAATTTATCTTTAATAAATATTTTAAATCGCTACAAGCTGTCCAGATATTTAAAAAATTTAAATCATATCAAAAGTTAAGAAATTCTAATGGAAGTTTGATAATTAAAAACATAATAATAATAATTTTATATAAATTTAAAAAATATTTGTAAGATTTTGCAAACGCTAGTCAACAATGGGTTTTTCATAAGAACAAATACTTCACTTTTCCATCCTAATTAATAGCTCATTCAAAATAAGTTGAAGACATTTGTGATTTAAATATGTCAAGTATAAACTAGTCATTTGTTGGGAAGTTTTGTTTAAATTACAATTAGCAATTATTTTACTTCTGAAGTAAAATCTATTGATCAAGTACAGTAATTCTGGAAAAAATCCCAGGTGTTTTTAAGTGGGCCTACTTTGGAGATCTCTGGTTTATGTAATGGCAAAACATTAAAAACGTGTTTAAGTTTGCTCAGGTAGATAGCCATGAGTTATACCTGCCTTTCAAGTCTGTTCTCCTTTGAGTTTTAATTTTTTTCTCTCTCTTGTCTTTCTGACTGGTTGTTACTATTATTTGATTAGTATTTAAGCATAGGTAAAATTTCATCACTAGAAACATGTTTAGAAATTCCACTCTCCATAAACAAACTCAACTTTTAAAGATAACATTGCTGTGAAACACTTCTTTTTGTGAAATAAACAACAGATCCGGTAACAACACGGGTTCATGTAGAGAAGATTTCTGTATAATGATCTACACCAAAATAATTGCCAAGTCTTGGCTTTTGAGAAACTAAGGGAAAACTTTTATAATATGATCTGTAGCAGAATAATTGCTAAGTCTTTGCAACTTCTGGTTTGAAGCCTGGGCTAAGAAAAACATCACAATAAGGAACCAACTTAAAAGTAAAAGGTATAACTTACATTCCCCCCTAAGGTAACCTCAATAAGTTTTTTCAAAAAAATTTGCAAGTTCAAAATGTATTGGGGCATGATATGGAAATATCTTCTAGACTAGAAAAAAGAAATAAACATCACAGGAGTAAACCAACTCAGGTATAGCTTGTGGGCAGCTCCCGGAAAATCTCTACAAGTTTGATTTTAAATATTTACAGGTTTAAAGTCTATTTGTCGATTGTAGTTACAGCACCAGATCATAATATGTAGATATTCGGTTAAAAAATTTTAGGTGAGGTTTCTGGCATTATCATTCAGTTACTCCAATAACATCTAACTTTACTTGCTTTAATAGAGGAAATTTACATGATAACTGAGAAGGAAAAAAATAATTAATGATTCATAATTCAATAGAATCTAGATCAACCAAAGACCATGAAATTGTGGTGAATGCCTTTTTGAAGGGGGGATTATCATAACTACGGCAAGTTGGCGTTAAGGTGCGCAAAAATAAAATAGTATTTAAATTTCAATTTACTACAAATTAGTTAACACTTAATCTTGTGTAAAGATTTTTATAATGTAACAAAATAAATGTACTAACTCATTATTCGAATCAGAAGTGGCAGTAGAATCATAGATTTCTATAGATCCAGGAGGTAGCTTCAAATTTAACTTATTTTTTCCAGAGTATTTACTCATGTTGTCAAAAAAAAGTCACTCAGATTATCATATTTCTGTACAGGTAAATACACAATGAATTTATAGCAATAAACCTAAAATATATTTCATGACAGGTTTAACATTTAAAATAAATAATTTTAATTAATGAGGAGGAAATGAAAAAAACTGAATATTTGATTATTTTAAAAACAATACTGCGAAAATAAAAATACCATGGTAACGATTAGGTAATAAATTGAAGAGGCTGATTCTCAACCTTTACCACCGAAAGCGAGATTAAGTTCGTAAATAGCGCAAGTTCTAGCTTAGCTCTGAGCAACGTTTTCAACTTTTTGCACCCGAATGGGCGAATGTTATTTTTAAGAACGCTCAGAGGACATAACTTCCGGTTTAAATAAACTTTGGATAGCTGCTAGCTGCCTTGTTTTGTAGCAGAAATAAAATTGATGATTGCCGAAGAAGCCGAGAAAAAAAGGGACCGTTTGCACTGCATGTGGCTCAGACACATCAGATTGCGCTCCAGAGAAACGATAAATCTGATTGGTGAGACTGTTTCATTGTTTGAAGCATTTCACCAATCAGGTTCTCCTTAGACAATGATCGGTGGCGTGTCAATCGCATACAAGACCATCATCAGCGTAATCAAAAGACTAAAATGCTGGTAACAAATTTTCTATTTAGATATTTAAGAACTCACTGTTTTTCTTGTCCAATTTAATATTCTAAGAACTTACCCTAGGAAGGATATCTCTCTCTCACAGAAATTATATAACAAGAGTATTTTTTTAAATAAATGGAGGCAAGTTTTTGAATCTTCTTTTAGAAGTTTTGCTATCAGTTTTTTAAGGACACTGATCACTTTAAGAAAGAGTCACAAAAAATTCAAAAAACAAGCTTTGCCTGATCGGAAAAGATTATTAACTTCTTCGAACTAATTCCTTTATCATCGATGGGTACGGAGGTGTGTGATTTGCTTGCAATGAGAGTGGCTCTGACAAGAGAGTGACAAGTAGTATTACTATGAGTATTGATAGCATTACTTATTATTGAAATGATAATGGCCTTACCAATTGCTGAATTGTTTCTGAGGGGAAAGATAAGCGAATAGCGTAGCAACCATTCTCCTTTGAACGTTTCACGCCCCTTCCATTATAGAGTTCATATCTGGGGAATATGCAGTTCAATCCATTCGAAAAGATTCTTTCTTCGTAAACGAGATTTACCATTAACTGAGCACGATGACTTGGCTTCATCAGCCTTCATAACAGACTGACGAGGCATAAAAAACAACAATAGATCTAAGAATTGATCGTTATTTCAATGAATCGTTAGTGACTCATTCCTGATAATGCACAGACCAGGACGGCCATTGATTGAAATACCCGTGCCTGTCATTATTCCACATCAGCCAACAATTGGACACTTTCATGCTCAAATGCGGGATGGTTGAGAGTACCACGTTCTCTCCATATCGATCCAGAGGATGGTCTGCGTCTGTTTGTATTCTGAAACGGGACGCGTCTGTGGAGAAGATATAACAATCCTCATCTGAGATGCTGCTGTGCCCATTTTTTCAGAAAGCACTGCTGTTTCACTTCGACGAAACTCACATCATAGCTTTATGGAGCCTATATTGGAGTCAAACTTGTATATTGGAGTCAAACAGTTTGAAACGAAATTTTGGAACGATTGTCAACGAAAGGTGCTCTTGCAATAAATTAGTGGTCATTGTGAAGATTCTTCTGGTCGTTAATCAAAAATAACAATTCTCATATTGTGTTGTAGCAGCAGGTGTATTATGAGGGGAAAAGGCGGAACAACTTGAATAACTCATGATTTTTATAACGAATTTTCCCGTTCTATGACTAAATCTTTATGGCTCAAGTACCTAAGCTTAAATACAGGGCCCGACTTAGCTTAATTGGGCCCCGGGGTAAAACCTTTTTTTTTGGGCCCCCTCTCTGCTTCACTACTTCAGTAATAAATAGCAGAAATAACATAACAAGAAAATTGACTAGAACCTAAAATAGCTTTAAAATCCCCCCCCCCTCAATGGTCAGACGGAATATCGTTCTGTTCATTTTATTGATTTTCTGACAATTTTATGTCCATCATGCCAAATGCAGTTTTCTGATTGTTAACTTTGTCATCTAGCTGCGAAAAATTTATAGCCTTACTGACATTAGAGAGGAATTTAGCTTAATTCCCCCCTACAAAACCATGGATTTACGAAATATAGATTTTTTGTGTTCATACGATAGATTAATGAAGAAGGTAACATAAAACTGAGGAATTTTACACTGCACTGATAATTTGTTTAAAAAAAGTTCATTAAAGAAGGAAACGTGAAATAAACTTTCGATTCGATTTGGGGGCCCTCTCTGATGTGGGGGCGTTGGGCACCCTTAGTCAAGCTCTGCTTAAATATGTTAATTAATCAGAGTCGTTTAGATATTAAACCGACAAAACAGACGCAAAACATTCCTTTTTTTAAAAATTAATATAACTTTTTCGCAATGGATTTGGATTCCTGACTTTCAAATTATGGAAAGTAGCCGCAATCTGGAAGATATGGTCCTAGTAGTTAGGTCAGGAGATAGAGCAGTGGGCAGCTTGAAACCCGTAGTGTTAATATCTTTAATGTTGATATATTTTAAAGTTAATATATATTCGTAATGTCATTATATTTTGTGCATTTCTCTATACAACGAGAATTTTTTAAGCGAATTGAAAACTTCGAAGATTTTTGGTTGATGTTTTAATTCAATAAAATATTTAACTATCAGATTATGAAAGAGTAATTTTAAATTACGTTAAAATTTTAAAAAAAAATGTGTATACTTTTATTTTTTTATCTTATTTGATTTATTTTATTATATTTATTTTTTTATGTTCAAGTGCAGTGCAATCACGCTTTTGCATAATGGTCTTATTAAATGTCAAAAGAGGGAATAACAATGAATGTACTGCTTTGGTCTTATAAAGAGTAAGTAGTAATTGTAGCACTTTATTGACGTCGCACTAGAGCTGCACAATGGGCTTTTGGGGAAGAATCTCAGCGGCACAGTCGACTAAAGCGTTGCTCACACTGTGCCCGCGGAAGACGTTTTCACGTCTCGGGCGATACTGGAAACGGTGCCCTTAATTCAATTTTAGAAAAGTTGATTGTTGCTGTTATTTATTTACGTCGCACTAGAGCTGCACAATGGGCGACGGTCTGGGAAACATCCATGATGATGATCCGAAGACATGCCATCGCAATTTTGATCCTCTGCAGAGGGGATAAATTTCAGAAAATTAATCAGAATTAAAAAAAAAATCTTATTTTCCTCCCTTGAATTGACTCGCTGGGAGTGTCATAAGGCTGTATAAAATTGCTTTTATATTTCAAATTACAAAATTTCTACCAAAAAGTTATAAAATCTGCATCAACCCTAAATGGTGATTAAAGAAACATACTAAGGAGATAAAGAACAATTACCAATTTTCTAGGTTAATAAAGAAAACCGTTAGTTTAATGAATGAGAATATCGCCTTTAGCATTCTAGAATAAATGTCTATTATAATATATATTTTTATATAATTTTTTTATGACAAACAAAGATTTAAGCATAAGCATTAAAATTTATTATTTCGTTCTTTAGCAGAAGCAGAACAGTTTTATAGACTCTTCAAAATCATTTGTTTTTACTGTTTCATTTTCCATAGATATTATTGGCAGAGAATTTAGTCTCTCGATTGTCATTGTAGACCTTAAATAGGTTTTTACATCTTTTAATATGATAAAAAAAAACTTTCAAGACTCGCTACTGATACTGCAAAGAAAATTTTTAAACTTATCACACAAGTTCGGAAAAAAATCTTTTATGTTGTTTCTATGAATGAACATTATGAGATCAATCGGATATACATTATCTTGGTATTTCTTTCTTATAATTATACATGTTTAAATAATATTTTAATCTTTTAGCTGTAAGATTAAAGTCTTAAAACACATATGTATATAGTCAATAGGCTTACCATAATGAAAATGCCCTTTTACCAGTAGTCAACTCTCGATTATTCGCGGACTATTTTCCATTTCCATTCTTAACTTTTGTTTAAAATAAATATTTTTTTTTCTTCAAAAGCTAGCGTATGTATGCTTGATTGAGTGATAAAACAATGCATTATCTTTTTTTTTTAATACATCGTTTTCGCCTTAAAAATTTCAAATGATTTCTATTTTATGTTCCAAGCGATAATGGATATCTTGAAAATAAAATGTATGATGAACACGAAAAAAGAGACGAAGACGCCTTCTTAAATATTTCTATTTTAAATAGTCTTGCTTAAAAGAAAGTAAATAAAGGCAAAATATATCGCGTATTCAAATGAGGCTTGTAAAAGAAAGGAAAAAAAAAGAATCTTTATTATCAGAATTCTTTTGTAAAACAGAATTCAAATATTGAAGAACTTTTCTCGTCTGCAGCAAATGTTTTTACATTAAATCAAACTCTATTTTCGCTTTTTGGTTCTTCCAAACGAGATTTTTTCTTCACTTCTTTTCACGCGATCATATTTCAAAAGAACAAAAGGGCAAATCTTTTGTGTGAAAACGCGGTTTTTGCAGATCATGAAAAAAAGCAAGCAAGCTTGACTTGTCACTAGAGAGGAAAAAAATGACCTACGGTTTTCAGAGAGACAAAAGACGTGACAAATGACGATATTTTTTCTGCACCCTTCTCCTGTTTTCGAACGTTCGAATAGTTGTTCTTATGAGCATAGAGAAAGCAGAAATTGGTAGAAAGAAAAGAGGGGAGGTTTAATTCTTTGTCCGAACATCTTGTCTTTTGTCTGTCTTTGAAACAGTTTCAATTTCTAAAAGAAGACTTTTGTGAAAATTGAATCTAATTCAAAGTTCAAACACAATTTGTTTCCTAAAGATATTAGAATGCTTCGTGAGCAATGAAAGCTGACTTTTGATATAAATGAACAGAAGTAGAATGCTGAATAGAACCGCTCAAAAAATATTTTAATTTTTCAAAATGATGAGAGTATTAAAAAATAGCCATTACAAAATTTAGCTTATTATTTCATTTCTACAACCAAAAATAAACCCCATTGCTTAGGCGTTGCAAAATTTCTATCGGTTAATATTGTTTAAAAAATTAGTTGTTACTATTAGACATTACTATTACGTTTTTACTACATTTTAATTAATTCCCTTTCGCGTTTATGATCGTGGAATCTTTGCAATTAAAATTTTGGCCGCTATCCGGTAAGCTAGAATGCTCACATTTCAACTGCATTCCTCCGTTACTGATGACGACTCATGGCCGTTATATAATTTGAATGTTATATATTTATTAA